TATAGAATGTACACAAAGGAAATGAGAAAGGAATCATTACCAAAAAAATCAACCAAACACTTAAGTGGAAAGACTGTTCATGTATTAGAAGACTTAATATTGTGGAGATGTCAGTACTACCCATAGCAGTCTTATACATTCAGTGCAATTCCTATTAAAATCCCAATGACAGGTTTTGCAGTAGAAAAATTTACCCTAAAACTCATATGGAATCTCAAGAAACCCCAAATAGTCAAAGCAATCTTGAACAAAGTTGGAGGTCTCACACTTCCTGATTTCAAACTTAGTACAAAGCTACAGTCACCAAAACAGTGTGGTTCTGGCATAAAAACACACATATAGACCAATGGAATAGAACAGAGAGACCAGAAATAAATCCTCACATATATGGTAAAATGATTTTAGATGACGTGCCTGAGTCACTCCAGGAGTCTTTTCAACAAATAGATGTTAAGAAACTTGAATATCCACATGCAAAAGAATGAAGTTGGAACTTTGCCTAATAACATATACAAAGATTAACTCAAAATGGACAAAGACCTAAAAATAAGAGCTAGAACTATAAAACTTAGGGAAAATATATATATATAAGAAAGCATCATGACATTGGATTTGGCAGTGATTTCTAAATATGACAACATGCAATGAAAAAAATAGATAATTAGGCTTCATCAAAATTCAAAACTGTGCATCAGAGCACACTATCAATAGAGTGAAAAACAACCCACAGAAAAGGAGAAAATATTTGTAAATCATGTATTTGATAAGGACTAATATCCAGAGTATATAAAGAACTCCCACAAATCAACAATAACAAAATAACCTGATTTTAAAATAAGCAAAGGACTTGAATAGACATTTCTTCAAAGAGCATATACAAATGGCCAACAAACACATGAAAACATGCTTGGCATCACTAATCACTAGAGAAGTGCAAGTCAAAACCACAGTGGGGTACCACCTCGCACCATTACGAGAGCAAATATCAAAAGAACAGAAATTAGCAAGCTGTCGACAAGGATGTGGAAAAATTGGAACCCTTGTGCACTGTTGGTGGGCTTGTGAAATGGTGCAACCCCTAAAGAAAATGGTGTGGCAGTTCCTCAAAAAGTTAAAAATGGAATTACCATATGATCCAGCAATCCCACTTCTGGGTATATGGCCAAAAGAACTGAAAGCAGGGACTTGAACAGTGTTTGCACACCCATGTTCACAGTAGCATTATATACTGTTTGGCTATTACTTAATAGCCAAAGAGCAAAAGCAACCCAAGTGTCTATCAACAAGTGAGTGGATAAACAAAATGTGGCATATCTGTACAGTGGAGTATTATTCAGCCTTAAAAAGAAGGAAATAATGACACATGCTACATGGTTGAACCTTGGGGACATTATGCTGAGTGAAATAAGCCAGCCACAAAAGGGAAAACGTAGGATTCCACTTATGTGAGGTACCTAGCATAGTGAAATTCATACATACGGAAAGTAGATGGTGGCTGCCAGGGACTGGGAGGAGGAGAGAAAGGGATATTGTTGTTTAATGAGCACTGAGTTTCAGTTAGGAAGATGGACAAGTTCTGGAAATGGACGGTGGTGATGGTTGCAGAACAACGTGGATATACTTAATGCCATTGAACTATACACTTTAAAATGGATGGTTTCAATGGTAAATTTTATGTTATGTATATTTTACAACAGTTTTTTTAAAAATAATACATTTATTTAAATGAGGGATACATGCAGATCCTCACTACTAGTCAGGTATTCAAGTACCAACTGAAAGTTCACTAGATACTGTGCCAGTGGTTTTTAATGTTCAACTACTTGTTCTAAAAGTGAAATGCCTAAACTAATAACTACATATTACAGAAACAAGTGATCAGGGCTAGGTGATATATTTTAACAAAGCTAGAGTTTTACATAAAATACCTAGTAAATATACAAAGCGTATGTTTTGATTTATATTCAACTCATTCGCTGACCAGTATTTTATTTCAGGATTGGAATATGGAAACATTATTTTAAGAATAATTGCATTTTGAATTTATTTACATATTGCCATCTTAATTAAGATCTCTGTTGCATTCTAAATTAAAAACACATTTACTGTGGATTTTAAGTCTACAGTACACAAAAAGCTTTGTTTTTGAATACCTGGTGTCCGTCCCTCTAGATTGCATAAAGAAATTCAATAAAAAAGGAACTTAACAGAGAACAACGGTTGGTCTTTGGCAAGTGTATCATCTTTTCAGAAGGAGCCAGTGCCAGGTATCTGAAATATTATAAAACTCTAATCGGCTTAAGCATTTGCTCTGACTTATTTTTTTCTTTTGTAGCAAAACTTTCACTTAGCAATTTATCGTAAGAGAAAAATCTGTCTTTACGATTGGAAGTGCTTTCTTTTGAGTTTTAGGTAAAGTATAAATACCCAATGTTAAACAACAGCGTATTCTTGGCATTTCCTTTCATGGTGTGATGATGAGACCTGTAAGTCATGATGAGAACAGTGTTATCAGATCCAGTAACACAAAGCAAAGTTTGCAGCTTTTTTGTTTCTTTGGAGAAAACGTTCTGAATCATTTTGAGATTAAACTTGGATAGTCTATAAGGCAAATTTAACATATTTAAAGCATTCTTTTAAGATTTTAACATTTTGCTCAATTTACTGTGGAACAAAGTAGTTGTGGTATCCTCTGTGCCTTGGCGATTCTTTTTTTCCCTCCTCTTAACAGGGGCAATGGGGATTAAACCCAGGACCTCGTGCATGCCAAGCACACAGTCTACCACTGAGCTATACCCCTCAGCCCTGCCTTGGATAGTCTTTTAATCCTTTTTAGAATACTGTCATTTCAGAAATAGTAATATTTAGATTTTTTTTGGTAACTCTAGCCACTAGAATCCTAATACCTAGATGTGATGTAAGATTTGAGGAGGGGAGGATCCTTTCTCAGGCACATAAAAAAGTCTGGCAAAATGTAAAGAAGAGTTTTTAGATATTTCTCCCTTTCTAACCAGAATTTATCTTCAAATTAGGTAAAGTTAACAAGCAAGCAAATCTGAGTTGAAGTATGCTTGTATTATGCTGGAGTCTGTGTTCTAGGGAGCAGAGTCACACTAAACCGATACCAGAAAAGCTAATAAGATATATTAGTAATCAAGGCTGGAGTTAGTATGGCAAGGTCTAGAAATAGAGGTCAAACATTTTCATAAATATTACAGTTGATACCACATTCACACTCTGGGGTTATTTTTCAGATGATTAACACTGCTCTCAAATACATCTTTACTGTCACGTCAGTCAGTGGGGGCTGGACTGGTGAAATAGCTTGCCAGGTTAGTAGAATTTTACCTGCAAGGAAATATAATATTTCAAAATTCAGATATCTGGTTCTACTTCATATGCCAGTTATTTAATAGCCAAAGAATGTTTTTCCTTCATGTGAAACTGACCCAGAGATAAGTATCCTCATTTCCAAAAAAGTACAGAGTGAAAGGAAAACAAATGACATAAAACCATATCCCTTAAAGCATCGTCATCCCCTTCATGTCACGGGTTCACTGAGGAGCTGGCATCTCAGGGCTTCCTAGGGGCAGAAGTCACCCTGGAACATACATGTCAAGACTCGTGGATAAGTCCTTTCATTCCTGTTGGAAAATGCAGTTGAGTATAGCCGTCTTTTAAAAGTCAAGTCTTTTGTACTGTCAACACTTACTAATAGTTACTTAAAAACTGAAATCCATGGCAAAAGGAAAACAAAGCGCAGGGAGAGAGGAGACGTGGGCGTGCACAGCTGACTGCCCAGTCACCCATCTCACCCGCTCAGCAGGGCTGCAGAGTGTGACCCGAGCGTGAGTAATGCCACGAGGAATTTCCACTCACCCATTAGACAAATATTTATTGAGTAACTAGTATGCGCCAAACTTCGTATTTCTTGCTGCTAATAGCCCTCTGAGTTTTCAGGTCATTTATTTTAAGGAGGGAAAATATAGTTTGCTATTTTTAAACCCAAAGACTTCAACAGGAGAACTGATTTTGATTATTGTAATGAATTTGAGAGTTTTGGGGGGAAGTGGAAGTGATAAAGGAGGACATTTTTCTGTAAGATAAGGCCGGTAATAGTAGGTCGAAGTAGAAATCAATGTGCAATGTTTAACTAACCTTATATTCATATCTCTTTCCAATAGATGAATACTTAAAATCTACTTAACAGAGATGGCTAGTGGGAATAGTTTGTTAGGTTGTTGATGAAAACCTGACAAAGTCATCTTCCTTTATTAATGTAAGATCCCAAATTGAGATTTGGTATTGCTTATTTTGGCCTGGGTAACAAAATAGCTTCTCGCTGTAAGTGTGAGGGTGCTGTCAATGAGCAGGACAAGCCTATCAGAATATCTTCTTCAGATTTTTCTCCTGTTGCAGGAAGTGGGAGGAAATGGTTGGCAAGAGTGCTAGTCAGGTTTGGCGACAGGAACATAAGCTGTAAGCACATTTAAGGACACGTGCACGGAGTGGCCCTCAGGAAGTGGAAGCTTTCTTGCCAGAGGCCGCCTGGCCGTGGGTCTGGGGTGTGGTAGAGGAGAGTCATCGACTGTAACGAAGACTAAACGTCGTGTCTGAACTGGCCCAGATGAGTGTGACCTATATGACAAGAAAACCTTTTGAATACTGTGCACTTTTTGATCATTTTTGTAAGTCTCGGACTTTTTTTCTGCCAAAACGGGATGATTCTGACGGTTTCTGAGAAAACAGTAGAGTTTTGTCAGTCCAACCGTATTTAGCTTTACCTTTTCAATGCTTCTGGGGCAAAGACTGAATACTTGACTCCACAGAGGTAAAAGCATGTTATTCCACCATCTGGGTCTCAGACATACTACTGTATTTTTCTTTTGTTTCTTTTCTAGTGAACTTTTCAAAAATTAGGTCATTCCCTTATAATTTTGGCTTTTTTATTTTTACTGTCATTGATTTCAGACTTGTTCCCTTTCTGCCTTTTCCACCAGTTTACTTCGGTGTCCCCAGCAGTTCCTGAATTCTTGAAAACTCCTACTACGGATCAGCCCCCGACGCGGTCCACAGCTCCTGTCCTCCCCACCAACACTGTGTCCTCAGCGAAGCCTGGGCCAACACTGGTAAAGGTGGGTGCCCAGCTCGCACGCTGGTTTGAGTGTCTTTACCTTCGACTGTTGTCTGTAGCCCCGGGCACGGAAGACGGAGGCTGCGGCCACACTGCCCAGCCTGCTTTTTAGCCTGAAGCCTTGAAAACAAAACCATGGAAGGACTTGCTTGCCCAGCCTTAATATTTGAAACCACCACCTTCGACAAACGACCTCTTGTTCTGTGGTCGCAGAAGAAGAGCGCGAGACTCGGTCCGTGTAAAACG